CAGCCCCAGGTCCCTTCCTTTTTGTTTTCATAAGTATTTGTTCTCTGTAGCCCCAACACTATTATTCACTCAAATGATGAGTGAGTTTCACTTTCCTATACTATATTCTGAGATCCTAAAAGATAAAATTTTGTGGTATTTGTAACCTAAATGCCTAGTCAAGAACGCGGCACTCAGTTCATTTGGAGATAGTTTCATTCACTAAGAGTGCAGCTGTCCATCCCACTTCCTAAACTACAAATGTAGATACTTTCCTAGTTTGCTCTCTATCACATCCAACCAGTTCCAAGATCTTAGTTTTGCTTTTATCTGGAAATTTGTGTTTATGTATAATTGTTAGTTTGCTAATTCAATGCATTTTACTGTTGTTTACTAATGTACTCACCATACTACACCCTGAATATTGCATTTAATTTATAGAATCTGTACTTTTTGTTTGTTTATTTTTTTGTCTTTTTTTGAGACAGCCTCTCCCTGTAGCCCCAGCTGTCCTGGAACTCACTATGTAGACCAGGCTGGCCTTGAACTCACAGAGATCTGCCTGCCTCTGCCTCCCAAGTGCTGGGACTACAGGCATGCGCCACCATGCCTAGCTTAGAATCTGTGTTTAATTTGTACAAGATTACGTGTTTATAAATTGAGTTTTTGTATTTAGGAGCAGATATCTATTTAAGTTTTTGTGGTGCTGAGGAATGAATTCAAGGTTTTGTGGTTCCTTGAGCCCAGGCCCTGGAGGAAAGTTTTATAAGTATTCTCTTTTGTTTTTGTAATTTCTTTTAAGATTTGTTTGTAAGTACGTGACACTTCTTTTCCTACTGTGAATGGGATTTTTTTCCAGTTATGTTTTTAATTTTTCACTATTATTGAATGGAAAATTATTAGGTGATCATATATCTGATCAGATCATTAAACTCTTGTCTGGGTAATTTAAGTACTGATGGTTTCAGTTTTTTTCTTCTGTGTATTTAAATGCTGCTCAGTTCATTTTCATATCTTAGTACACTGTTCAGACTCTACTCAGTGTAGAGTAGAAGCAGGTATAGTTAACATCCTGGTATGATTATTCTTTTCTTAAGTGAAACTATCTGTCTTAAGCTTTGATGATAATACTAGTAATTTTTAAAAGTCAAATTAAAGCAGCACCACTTATTGCTAACTTGCTAAGAGCTTTTGCGTTGAGTTCTGTCAGGTGTTTTCTTGGTTTCTATGGAGGTGATTTTGTTCTGTTAATCTAAAGAATTAACATGTAAGATTTTCCAAAGACAGACTTTCTTAATATCGCTGTGTTTTCCTGATTTATTTAATGTAATGTTGGATTTGATACTGTGTCTTATTTCAGATGTTTTAACCTATATTTATGTGCTGTGTATATAGTGTTCTTTTAATTATTTTCTGCTTTCGTTTCAAAGTTATGCTAGCTTTATAGACTTTGGGAACTTTTCAGTTGGAACAAATATTCAAATTTGAACATTTTTAAACACGAGGAATTAGTTCATTTTCCTCCCTTCCTCCCTTCCCTCCCCGCCCTTCCTCCCCTGCCTTTCTCCCCTCCCCTCCCTTCCCCTCCCCTCCCTGTTTGAGATAGGGTCTCACTATATAGCCCTGACCAGCCTGGAACTTGCTGTGTAGACCAGGCTGGCCTGGGATTCAGAGATCTGCCTGCCTTTGCCTCCTAAATGCCGAAAGTAAAGATGTATATCACTACACCCAACTGGAATTAGTTTTTTAAAAAGTTTTTGTAGGATTTACCCATAACTTTTAAAATGGTTGTTGACATCTTGCTTTCCTTAAATTCTAATAAAAAATCAGGAACACTGAGTTCCTTTGATAATTTACTACCAAATTGCTTATCCTAACAATTTGTTTTTTTCAGAAAACATTGTTATAGCTACTTAATCAGGACATGAAATTAGTCTATAAGAGAAATAAAAGTATGCCTGTCTCCATGGATAGATTTTTTTCCCCCCATAGGAAGATGCTGTCTTGAGTGGTAGCCTTAAATTTGAAGCTAGCATTTTTAAGAAAGCAATCTTATTTACACCATCAGATGTAGTGCCTGCATTAAATATCATGTATAAAAGACCAAAGGTAAACATCGTTACAACCATGTATTCATGTTTTGGGTTAGTTTTACTGTTTTTTTAAAAGGTTTATTCTGTTATTTAGATTCATTAAAATATATGCAAATACTGTTTTAGAAGTTGAAATACTTTAATTTCAATAAAACTGGTTCCATTTGCATTCACATTCCCCTTTAACATTCAGTATTTTAAAAATTTATTTCATGTATATTAATTGTAGACATTAATGAGATGCAGTGTGGTATTTTCACACGTTCACTGACCATGTCCATTCCCTCCCTAGTGATCATTGTTCTGCTGTCAGGTTGAATTTCTTTTTCAAGTCTCCACATCTGAGAGAGTCCATATGATACTTAACTCGCCTTTCTGTGCTCAACCTATTTCGCTTAGTATAATGAAAAAAATTGAATTCAGCAGCACATCAGAAAGATCATAGAGCATGTTGGTTTCATTCCAGAGATGAGAGGATAATTTAACATATGCAAACCAGTAAACAAAATATCATATCAACAGAATAAAGTTAAGATTCAATATTTGTAAGCATTCATTAAATTTTGGAAACTGAGTATCTGACCATAACTCTAGGATTCCTATAGTAAAGCAGTGGCTATCAGGGGCAATTTTGTCTCCAGAGAACATCTGCCAATGTCTAGCAAGTCTGATTTCTCACAATGGAGACAGGTGTGTACTGTCTTCTAGTGTGCAGAGGCAAAGGGCATGTGTGAGCCTCCCACAGAACACAAGAAAGAATTGTCTATGTCAAAATGTTAGTGATGCTAAGGTTGAAAAACCTGCAAAAGAAATAAGCGTATATGATAAAAATGGTTGTCAAATATGAGGTTGTTTTTTTTCCTTTTCAACAAGGGAATTCTGTGTAAGAGTACAATTTACAGTGTCCTTGTCCAAAGTATATGGAATACTCTACTGTTCACCAATACCTGTCAAGTCTTTTAAAAATAAAACATCACTGTAGGTTAGGATTAAACATGTAAATCAGCGAGTTACTGCTGATTCTTATTTTTCCATTGTTAAGAAATTAGATCGAGATTAAATGATTGTCTTGTGGCTATAGGAATATTATTACCAAGAAGGAATAGAAGCTAGTATCCTCTTAGCTTATACATTATTATTGTATTCTTTTTATTCCTGATTTAATATTAGAGTCTAGACTATGACATTTTTGGGGGGCAGTTTTCTGAATAAATTCAGAGCTATTCAAGTGTAAGTCTTTTTATGTTTTAAAAAATTGCCTGGGGCTGGAGACGCAGCTCCTCCATTCTGAGCACCTGTGTCTTCGGGTAGCTTGCAGCCCACCATAACTCCAGCTCTAGGGTATCTGATGCCTTTTTCTGGCCTCCATGGGCAGCGGCACACATGCAACATGGATTCTGCTCTGGTAAAACTTAATCTTCTTCAAAAATTGTTTAAAATCCTGTAATTTTAGAGCCAAAGAAGACCTTGGTGACTTAGTGCAGTTTTTTTCCTTTATAAAGTAAATATTTCACTTTTGGATAGGTGAAGTGGTCTTACACAATGTTACACCATTTTCTAGTGTCACATCTTAGAGCTCACAACTCTCAGTTGAATGTTGTTTCAAGGGGAGGAAAACTGTCAGGCACACTTGGATTCTGTTTTCAGGTACCTCAATCTGGCTATGATTATTAAAACACACAATTACTTTTATATATATTTTCATATATATAGAAAAAATATACGTGTCCATTTAAATTTTTCCTTTAAAAATACTTTGTCAGGCCGGAGAGATGGCTCAGCAGTTTAGAACACTGGTTGTTCTTGCAGAAGACCCAAGTTCAAATCCCAGCACCCACATGGCAGCTAACAACTGTCTGTAACTCCAGTCTCAGGGGATCTGACAGCCTCTTCTAACCTCTGCAGGCATTGCACAACACAGGTGCAGGCAATAGACACATACACATAAAATAAAAATAATAAAATTAAAAAAAAAAAAACCTTTCTCAGCTGGGCATGGTGGCACATGCCTTTAATCCCAGCACGCAAGAGGCAAAGGCAGGTGGATCTCTGCAAGATCAAGGCCAGTGTGGTCTACATAATGAGTTCCAGGTCAGCTGGGGAGAGAGAGAGACCCTGTCTCAAAAAGAACTCCCTCCAAAAAAGATGGTTTTTAACTTTAATTATTTGAGGGGGGGATCACAGGATAACTTACAGGAGTTGGTTCTCTTCTTCCACCATTTTTTATTTTATGTGTATGAGTGTTATGCCTGCATGTAGGTAAGTGCACCCCTGTTGTGCAATGCCCGCAGAGGGCAGAAGAGGCTGTCGGGTCCCCTGGAACTGGAGTTACAGACAGTTGTTAGCTGCCATATGGGTGCTGGGATTCGAACCCGGGTCTTCTGCAAGAACAACCAGTGTTCTTAACTGCTGAGCCATCCCTCCAGCCCCCAATTTTTATATTTTTAAAAATACTTTGTAAGGACTGGAGAGTTTGCTCAGTGATTAAAGGCACTGGCTGCTCTTGGCAGAGGGACCTGGGTTTAGTTCCCAGCACCCATATTACAGCTAACAACCATCTATCCAGTTCTAGAGGATCTGATGCTCTCTTCTGGCCTCTGTGGGCTTGCATATGATTGGTGCACTTGCATACATTCAGACAAAACCCTCATACAAATGCAAACAAAAACTGATTAGTTAAAAATATATGTTTAACTTACTAGCTTATTGATTTTGCAATTCCTGCAATTTAGACCCTAGGCCTTGAGCATACTGGGCAAGTGGTGTGCTGTAGAGCTACACCCTCAGCCACACCCTAAGCTTTTGATATTTTCCCCCATAGGTTTGTAAATGGATTAGTATGTTTATTTGTAAACATCCTCTTTAATCTCGTTTCAATTTTCAAACATTTTGCCATTGTCAACATGAAATTTAAATTTTGTTTCACAGGCAACTACACCTCCAAATCAAGGAAGGCCAGATTCTCCTGTCTATGCTAACCTACAAGAACTGAAAATATCGCAATCTGCTCTCCCTCCTCTTCCTGGGAGCCCAGCAATTCAAATTAATGGAGAATGGGAAACTCATAAAGACAGTTCAGGACGTTTTTACTACTATAACCGAGGAACCCAGGAGAGAACCTGGAAACCACCCCGATCGACTCGGGATGCCAGCATAAGCAAAGGGGATTTCCAGAGTCCAGGAGAACAAGAGGTATGAATAATTTAGGAATCAACCAGTGCGTTTCCCTGTTTCCCCTTTCATGATTCAGAAACAAAAGACAGCTTTGTTTCTTGGTATCATCACAGTAAGGCACTTGAATTTTAAAGATATTAAATACCTTTCCAAGCTTTCTTATATAACAATGCTAGTTACCTCCTACTTTCCAGTGTACAAACACTAACCTTTAAGTCTGCTTACTGATTCCAGAGCTGGATTAAAATTGTTCACTGCCAGTGCTTCCCATTATTGTATTAGAAGACACTAACTTAACCAAATGTGGTTGCGTACACTTGTAATTAAAGCAGTAGGCTAAGGCAGGAGGATCAGGACTTGAGGGCCAGCCCTGGTTACATAGCAAGTTTGAGTCCAGCCTGTCCCGTCCCACCCCCACCCCAAGAAAAACTAACTTATTTGCATAAATTAAAAGATCCATGATGTGACTTAATCAAATAAATAGAAACCACATTATTTAACTGATTAAAACAGATTCCTTTCTCCTTTTCTCTGTTTTCTGTGGCCATCAAACTCCTTTGTGTTTTCTGTCAATCAGGAGTGCAAGATTATTTTTTATATCTGTTTAAGGAAAGTAATGATAATTTCCTGCTGTAGTTAGATTAGTCTGTAAATGTAAGGACAATTCACTCTCAAACTCTTAAACCAATTATGTTCTCCTATGAGTTGTCGTCTCCCCCCACCCCCCATTTCATCTTCCTCCAAACCTCCTACAGGGTACAGGGTGTGACAGAGAACTCACTAATTACATTTTGAGAAACACTCATTTTCATGGTCTGACGGAGGTGTCTTGGGATTGTTTAGATGTGCAGGTGGAAGGTGGGTAGAATTGGTGGAATGCCTTGAAATCCTGTCATTGACAGGAGCCCCTGTACCCAAAAGGGGCACTCTGTCCTTACAGGAAGCATCTAGCTTCTACAAATAAATGTGGAGCTCCAGGAGGATAAGATTTGAGAAATCAGGTGACATGTTCTTCATTTAGCAGATTCTAAAAGCTTTTTGTAGCCAATAATTCCCCTTGCCCTGTTTTTCAGTTTGCTACACATGACTTTGGTTTGATGGTAACTTGTACTTTTATTTTCAAGAATGAGAGCAAAAAAAAGCAAAAGCCTAGCAGAAATATGCTCAACTATAATAAAGTTAGGAAACTGTGTCTGTTTTCAAATCTTTTTAGAGCTATAATTCAAACAGTTCTGTGAATCAGTAGTAAACTAAAACTTTATAATTTGTAGGATCAAGGACGAGGTTAAATTATAGAATAATAGAAAACTAAGTTAATTACACACAGTAACTTTCAACATGTTTCTTAACTTTCTATTTCTGTAAATAAATAAAAGTGATTTGTCTGCACATACTGTGTAAAAATAGGTATTTCTAAAGTTTTTGGAACACATTTTTTTTAGCACTTCTTGAGAAAGGTTGCCTGTGGGAGGTAAAAATAAGAGAGAGAGAAGGGATGGAGGGAGGGAAGAAGAAAGGGAGGGAGGGAGGGAGGAGGAGGATGTCTTATTCTGCTTATGTTGAATTGATCATAGGCTTGAATATAGGATTCTAGTTTGGGAATAATTTCTTTTCCCAATTCTAAGGTATTTTGAACTTTACCTGAATGGGAATCTGGGTCAGTTGCTTGTTTGGGAGTCCCAGTGTTAGACCCTTTAGGTCTTTCCATTTGGACTAACCGGTCTCCAGGAAGATTTTCAGCTCTTCTGCCTAGAAGGCTGAGGACTTCCAGGGTGTTGGTGCAGCAGTTTCCTTAGTCTCCCTCTCTGGTACCCATGTGCTTCCTGACTGTTGCTTTGCAACTGAGAATCTTACTGATTGCTCTCTTCACAGAGATTAACCTCCATAGTTCTGCCAGAGAACATGCCTAGTGGTGGGGCAGGAAGAAAAGAAAGCTGATGGTTTCTGAGCCATTTCCAAATTTTGCTGGGTAAACTTGGGTTTCATCTGCCCTCACTTCTACTAGCCTGTCAGTTTAGATTCTGCTTCTGTGTGGATGGTTGAGTGTTTTGTTCATCTAATTGTTGTCTCTTTCTGTGTTCTCCCTGTTCTTGGGGGTTTGTCTTGCCTTAGAAACTTATTTAGTGGTTACTTAAGAATAGGGGCTCTTAGCTGAGGGCAGATTTGCTTTTCAGGGATATTAGGCAGTGTTTGGAGACTGATGATCACAATGAAGGAAGTACTATCTGTAGTACAGAGATACTGCTGAAGATTTGATGGTATGTGACAACTCTCCAAAGAAAGGCTATTACTAGGGCCAACAGTACTGCTGAGAAATGTTACCCCAGACATTTTATCATGTCTCCTTACCACAGTCCTAATGTTTATCAGTTTCCTCTGGATCCATAAAGCCTTGCAGCAGCCATTACATGCTCTTGTTACACATTTAATTTCAGTTTTTAGCTCCTGTTTTGTTGTATACCATGACTTTAGGATGAATCCTTGATTTTACCATTTCTCCCTCTCATATTTTTCTTCCTTTTTCTCACATTTTCTGATGCCTTAAATACATGTCTTTAAATTCCGTCATGAGCTTTTCTTAATCATAGAATCTTTGTTTTTGTTTGGAAATGTGTTTTGCTTTTTATTTTTTTGTAGTTAATTTCTTTTCTTTTTTCTTTTCCTTTCTTTTCTTTTTTTTTTTTTTTTGGTTTTTTTGAGACAGGATTTCCCTGTAGCCCCAGCTCTCCTAGAACTCACTATGTAGACCAGGCTGGCCTTGAACTCACAGAGATCCACCTACCTTTGCCTCCCAAGTGCTAGGATTAAAGGCGTGCGCCACCATGGACCCGGCTTAATTTATTTTTTATGGTGAAAAAAATCTGTATTTAGAATTAAACTACTGGACTGCTGAGATGATTCCAATTTTGTTGGCAATATCTAAAGCATCATAATCAGGACCCAGATGAACATATGCCTTCTTCTGTCCATCAAGTCTGATCAAGGTATTGACCTTGGCCACATCAATGTAGTAGAGTTTCTTCACAGCCTGTTTGATCTGGTGCTTGTTGGCCTTGACATCCACAATGAGCACAGGTGTGTTGTTGTCTTCTGTCTTCTTCATGGCTGACTCAGTGGTCAGGGGGAACTTGATGATGGCGTAGTGGTCAAGCTTGTTTCCTGGGGGCACTCTTGCAAGGGTATTTGGGCTGCCTCCGGAGCCAGGTGACATGCGATCTTTTTGTGGCCGTGAACACCTTTCAACACTGCCTTCTTGGCTTTCAATGCCTTCGCTTTGGCTTCAGCTTTGGGAGGGGCAGGAACTTCCCTCGCTTTCAGCACCATGTTGGTGAAAAGCTGTAAATTTTTTATTGGCATATGTTCATTGAACATAGTGTTGGATTGCTTTTATTTGTGAAGACTACTTTAATATTCCAAGTTGGCTGTTAACTTGATTTTTTTCTAATTCATTTAAGACTTTATTCTCATGTTTTCTGGCTTCCATTGTTGATGCTGAAAACTCAACTGTCATTTAATTCTTTTCTTTAGGAGTAGTTTGTTTTTTCTTGCTGGTATGTCATAAAGTCTTGTATCTGCAACATGGTATATAGATAAAGTTATTTGTTAACTAGCCTTTTACAGTGACAAAATATTGTAGGAAACCAAATTAAAGGAATAAAGGTTTGGCTTATGGTTTTAAAGGTTCTGGTCTGTGATCACTTGGGTCCATTATTTCTGGGCTGTTTCTTAGAGAGAGAGCATCATAGTGGAAGGACATGGCTGGGGAAAGCTGCTCATCTCATGGCAGCTGCCAGGGGATAGAGGTGGTGGTATATCTGTGTGTAGAGACAGCAAGGAGCCAGGGACAATATATACCCTTCAGAAGCATACTTCTGTAACCTACTTACTCAAACCAGGCCTACCTCCTAAAAGCTTATTTGGCAATTAGCTCGTTTATGGGTAGATCCAATCCATGCAGTTAGCATCCTTTCTGTAGCACCAGGACCTGGGAACCAAACCTTCTACACATATAAGCCTTTGGGGCTGTTTTGTATCTAGACTGTACCAATATTCTTATTTCCTGCCAGGGTGTGAATTTGGAGTCTTACCTGTATGTATCCTCTGCCCGTTTTCTCTTTCTTCTTATTCTGTAACTTTGATTAGATGGGTGTGTAGTGTGCTCTTGATTTGTGCCTAAGTTTTATTCTCAGAATTTCCACATCTCATCCTTGTTCACTGTTTGTCTCCTTGTATCTACCTACCTCTTTATTTGAAGTCTAACCAATACTTGAGAGTTTTGAGTTTTAAAAAGTTACTGTTTGGGAGACTTTCTTTCTTTGCTTTTTTTTTTTTTTTTTAAACTTTGAAAAGTCTTAAGCCTACAAAAAGTTAGAAGAATAGTAGTATAGTAAGTGCCATTATACCATATAACCTTTATCTAGATTTACCAATTGCTGACATTTTACATTTGCTTTATTTCTTCCTTCCTTTCTTTTCTTTAACACACCATTTGAGGAAAACAACATGATTTATTTCCTATGAAGACATTTTCCAGCAAAACTGTATCATACTTAAGACATTTACTCTTAGTATATTATTTAATATGTGATTTGTAATTAGTATTTCTCAGTTGTTAAGTAATATCCTTTATAATTTTTCTATAAGAATCATATATTTATTTGCTATGTTTTGAGTCATATATATATATATTGTTGTTGTTGTTGTTTATTCCCATGTATAAGACTTCTGAAAGTCTGATTATGCTCTTTTTCTGCCAATTTGCTCTTTTTTTATATATTTTGTTTCCTGTCTTTTAATGTGTGTTATTTGTGTTTTAAGTTTGTGGTTTTGGTTCTTGGAAATTTATAAATAGGATTCTTTACTGGCTTAGGAGTTGCTTCCTTTTGCCAGGTGCCTAGGGAAGCCAGTGTCCCATGAATGTTTGAAACTAAATCTTTAGCTTAGTTTTTACAGCCACCCAGCTGGTAGTAATTTGGATTGTATAATGATTGTGGTTAGGGATTGCCCTGTTTTCTCACAATCTGAATTGTGAGGTGTCCTTTTAGACTCTTGATTTGATGGTCCTGAATTTGGTTCCCTAGCATTTTTTCACAGCTTTGAGAACTGTTCTCTGTAGATGGAATGTGCATGCTAGCCCCTCAATTCTGCCAAGGTACACTTGCTGCAGAATGGACCCCCAGAGTTAATGTGAAGTTCACATCCTCTGAATGGAGTTATTTAGTGTAGAACACTTAACATTTGAAAGTGCTTACCATTTAACTGCCATTAAAGAACTGTTGATTAGTAGTTGATACCAGACCTTAAAGCTATTCCTGGTTTTATATATAATGAAACATACCAAGACACTGAAACTTACTTTTCATGACCGAAAACATCTTTTTGCACAAAATTAGAAAAGTATGGATGAACACTTTGTCAATTTGAAAGTTGTTATGTCCATGAAAAAGATTTAGTGATTTTGATTATTGTTTCTTCCCTCACCTTTTCCCTTTCCCTTTCCTTTCCATCAATGTCTCATTATGCAGCCCTGGCTAATCTGGAGCTTCCTGTACAGACCAGACTGGACTTGAACTCAGAAAGATCCATCTACCTCTGCCTCTCTAGTGCTGGGACTAAAGATGTACACCACCAAACCTGACTCATTTGCTAATTATACTAATTAATACCCCCCCATTTCCAGAGTTTACTGTACTCCTATATAATCTTATGTTTTGTTACTCTCAACTAAATACAGATATAGCTAAGTTTCCAAATTAGTTTCAACTTTTTTTTTTGAATATTATTGTTGTGAAATAGAATGTGTTTTATGTAGAGCTTCCAAAGGGAATGCTGGGAATCTGCCATTGTAGGCAGATCCTGTTGATAATAGAATCTGATAGAGTCAGGTAAGGTTGAGTTGCAGAAACTTCTTAGAAGTGATAGGAAAAGTCAGCAAGTAGTTGAATGGATGTAAGTTTAAGTTACAGTAAGAATTGAGTGGCCGCGTTATGGTACTTCTTGTTTGTTGAGAGGCACCAGTACATGCCTCAGTCTCCCAGCTTGCCGCTCATCTGTGTGTGGCATTCACCATAGCTTCCTGTATTATTTTCATCCTGAATTTCTGATCTTTCTCTGTCCCATCTATATTTCATCAGTGTTATTTCTTCTTATGAAATTTAGTTTCCATTCTTCTGTAAGTATTTGGTTGGGTCAATTAGGATAACTTGCTAATGGATTAGATCATAAAGACACAGTGTTGGAAAGCTAGTGTCTTTTCCATGTCTTTTCTCATGCAGTTCAAAAACTAGCTCAAAGCCGGGCTTTTGTGGCACACGACTTTAGTCCCAGCCCTTGGGAGGCAGAGACAGGAGGATCTCTGTGCGTTCAAGGCCAGCCTGGTCTACATAGTGAGTTCCAGGACAGCTGGGGCTACAGGGAGACCCTGTCTCAAAAAAAGAAAAAAACAAAACAAAAAACCCCCCCAAAAACCCCAATAAATAAAATAAATGAATAAATAAATAAAAAGTAGCTCAAGATATATTTATTTGGCTTGGTACTTATGATACACAAATGAGTGAGAATTTTCAAGAAGTTGAGTCTAATGAATTCTCTTATCCCTTCTTTGTTTACACGTGGATGTGTCTACACAGTCACAGTCCTTTAATTTTTCACTTGAAATTGGAGTTCAAAAGCAACATTAAACAGAAGGTAGCATTTTTATCACAGCTTAGTCTGGATTTCTATTACCAATTTTATTATGCTAAAGTTTTCCAGAATTACATTGATATTAATTAACTAACCATTATTAATTTACCTCACTACTTGCAGCATTCTATTTAAAGACATTATTTTCAAAATTAAATTTTCAAATATTAATATATTTAAGATATCTTAGTACCTATAGCCCATATAAATTCAATCTTTTAGATTTCACTTACTGCATTTTTATATTCAAAAAAGAAAAACTCTTATGTTTCTGACTATTTGTAGCTTCTTCCACCAGAAGAAAACTACCACAGCACTTGTTACAGCCAGTCAGATAGTCAGTGTGGTTCTCCTCCAAGGGGTTGGTCAGAAGAGTTGGATGAACGTGGGCATACCTTATATACCAGTGACTATACTAATGAAAAGGTACTTTTTTTTTCTCTCACCTTGTATTTCTTGGCAGAATCCTCTTGTAGAATAGATGTGTGCTGAAATATTAATAGTAATAAAAGAATTAACTGTTGAGTGTGGTGGCGCTTGTTTATAATCCCAGCACTTGGGAGGGAGAGGCAGAGGGATGGAGTTTGAGGCTAGCAAGTATTCTCTACTGTGATTTTACAAGTGGAGTACTTAGTAAAACTACTGGTTCATGGTTTTTTGTTTGTTTGTTTGTCGTGGACTGGGAACAGAACATACTATGAAAGCACTCTGCCACTGAACTCCACCTCTAGCTCTACCGCACAGTTGAAATCTGCAGCAATGATGGGATTTTCATGGTGTTAATAAACCCATTTCACATGGACCTTTAAGATAGACCTATTATCATATGCTTGGATTTCTTCAATAAAATATTTATTTGTATTTTTCTTGGGGAAAGTTTGTTGTTTTTTAAATGATTTCCCCCACAATGTGCTGTTTTTATACACTCACCACTCCCATTATGACCAATTCTTATAAAACAAAAACCATGAATATAGTATTTTGTGATGAATTGGTTTAGGAATGCATATCAAATTTCTGTGTATTACCTATGAAATCATTTCTTAAAAGTAGCTGGTTGGTAACCTCCTACTCCTTTGCTTCAGGTCATTAACACTAAAAGGCACAGGGGTGCTAGCTCTCCTTTCCACAGTGATAAAGGTCACACATTCATGTTAGCAGTACTTAGGCCACCTCTTCATATGCCCTGTATTGTATTGCCTAAAGTTCCCTTGTTATTGTTTCTTAACCTGCTCTGAGTACAGTGCACTTCCTAAGGGAGGTGATTCCTTAAGGATTCATGTAAAATGAAGCTTAACGTGTGAAATTTTGTACCTAAAAGTTGAAAAGCATTTTTTTGGCTAATATCTCAAACTTGTCTTAAGGATGGAAGTGTACCTATGTATCTTTGTGTCATGTTTCTTGTTATGTTGTTAAGTGGTGTTTGAAACTACCTTGACATTTGAGGAAAGAGAAAAGTTGGTATTAGTATTGAGTATTATACTTACTAAACTTAAAGTACAAGTCTGTTAGTATAATAAACTTGTTGATTTTTCATTTATTTGTTAACTTCAAATAGCATAAAACTCCCAAGAATATTAAAAACCTGTTTCGTTTTTGTAGTGGCTCAAGCATGTTGACGATCAAGGTAGACAGTATTACTACAGTGCAGATGGATCCCGGTCAGAGTGGGAATTGCCAAAGGTACTAAGCTTAACACTGAACTTCTATGAAGTAATTGAAGACAGTTAACTAGGTTAACTTTCTCTCCCTCTCCTACTCTATCCCATTTTCTCCCCCTCCCTCCCCTCTCCCTCTTTCCCCCATCTCTCCCTTCCTTTCCCTCCCTCTTCCCATCCCCCCCCTTTCTTCCTGAGGTGGGGTAGCTCAGGCTGGACTGAAACTCCCTACATAGACCCAGGGTAGTTTTAAACTTTACCAGATTCATTCTTAAATTTGTTTCAGTCTTTAAAAAGTAGCAAGACTATAGCTGGGCGTGGTGGCACACTAGGGAGGCAGAGGCAGGTGGATCTCTGTGAGTTCAAGGCCAGCCTGGTCTATATAGTGAAGTCCAGGACAGCTGAGGCTACAGGGAGACCCTGTCTCAAAAAGACAAAAAAAAAAAAAAGGTAGCAAGACTAGCTTTTTCTGAATTCATTTGTGAGCCTATGATTACCTAATGTTTTCAAAGTTATACGTTTATCACTACCTGATACTGATTATTCTTACTTAAAAAAAAAATCTTTCAATTTAGCCTGAAATTGGACTTCCGTTATTCCTAGGCATAAAACTTCTGCTTAACAGAATGCCAGTGATGCCATCTTACGTTTAGTTACCTAGGTTTTTACATGAACTTGGCCTTATATTTAGTTTCTTTTTGGGGCTTTTTTGAGCCACTATGCCCGGCTGATACTAAGTTTCTATCAAAGCACAAAGTGCATATGGCTGGTGACCGCTGAGCTGTGGGAGAAGGAGAGAAATGACATCTGGGGCACTTATTCAGAAGGCAGCTCATGTGTCCGTGATAGTTTGTTAATTTCTATAGAAAAAAATGCCTAAAGCAAGTATCTTACATTAAAATACTATAACTCAGTGATGATAGGTTCTTATAGTTTTTTTTTAATGCATATATCTAAAATAATTCACAGCAAAACTCCCAATTTTTAGAAACAAAAACCACATTTTTAAGGGATTAGAAAATTGTTAAAGTTTGGTCATTTTTTAAAAAATTATTTATTTTTACTTTATGCGTATGCCTATATTGCCTGCATGTAGGTAAGTGCACCCATGTCATGCAATGACCCAGGACAGAAGAGGCTGTCGGATCCCCTGGAACTGGAGTTAGGACAGTTGTTAGCTGCCATATGGGTGCTGGGATTCGAACCCAGGTCTTCTGCAAGAACAACCAGTGTTCTTAACCACTGAGCCATCTCTCCAGCCCAGTTTGGTCATTTTTTTAAAGCTAGGGGCATGAAAGGGTGTTTAACTGTTGGGTTTCTCATATTTTGTTTTTCTCTGATTATGCACACTTTGTTACTGTCTTCTAACGTTTCATTTATGCTTTGTTTGCTCTTTTGAGTATGCTGTTGCCTAGTAAACTATAAACACATTCATAATTATGATTATTACTCATATTAATTTTACATCATTTTTGTTGCCACACAAAGACTTTTTAAATTGTAGTAATTATAAGCTCAAAGCTAGGTAAATTACCTTAAATTTCGTACACATATACACAGTTACACAGTTCATGCTAATGATGACTGTATTTCAGAGAAGCCCTGTGTCACAGTTGGGTCTCATTACATCTAAAGTGTCTGGTACAGAAGTTTTTGGTGGCCTTTAAGCATCATTATTGTTTAATCTAGAAATGATAATCTGAAGGTTGCTGTTTGACAGAAAACACTGAATTGAAAACACCCATATGTGATTGCCTGGCTTTGGCCAATTTTAAAGTTAAGAAAGAAGTAACAGCCTACTTAGATACTTGGGGAGGCCTATAAAGATTCGTTTTGGAGAGTAAAGAAGTGGCATAGTGTGCAAAGAAAGATGTTAGAAGGCGTTTTGAAATTTAAAACATCCTCAAAATATAACTATATTGAAGTTATGATCAGAGATTAAAAGTTAAGGTTGCTAGATTATTTTTAGGGATAAGGGGAGTTGATATTGGGTATTCTTTAGTTTCAGGAGAAGAATATGTCTGTTTAAAAGTTGATTTGGGGGCTGGAGAAATCACTTAGTTAAGAGCACGTACTACTTTTTCATAGTTCAGCTACCAGCACCCACGCAGTCAGCTCACAGTTGCCTTTTTTAAAAAAAATTTTCTTTTGGTCCTTTTGAGACAGGGTCTCCCTGTAGCCCCAGCTGGCCTGGAACTCACAGAGATCTGCCTGCCTCTGCCTCCCAAGTGCTGGGACTACAGGTGTGTGCCACCATGCCCAGCCACAGTTGCCTTTTAACTCCTGGGGGTCCAACGCTTCTGGCCTCCGTGGATACCCACCCTCACATGCACATATGGACACACATACACATAATTTTTTTAAAGTTGGTCCTGGGGGTCCAACACTTCTGGCCTCCGTGGATACCCACCCTCACATGCACATATGGACACACATACACATAATGTTTTAAAAGTTGGTATTCTTGTTATTTTATTACAATTTATTTATAACATTTAATTTGCCTGTATAAGATGGCGTATAACATGCAGAGCTTTTAGAACTCTCTATCCTTTTGTGTGATCTACTTAATATTTCAGACTCTTACATGATTTAATACTTTGCTGATAACATATTGCTTATTTCACATTCAGTTTTCTTTTAGTAGTGATTATCTGTCCTTTCTACACATTGATGTGTTCCAAATTGGCCTTTAAAACTAGTACCATTTCAGTAAAACAGTGTATTTAGTCTTTAAGTGAAAGCAAAGATAACACCTTCAAACTATTAAATGTAAAACGTATGTATGTCTAAGCGTTATTTAAAAATTTTAAACCAAAAATTAAATTCAAGTGGGTTTTAGAAGTAGAAACAAACCTAAAAAAAACCCACTTTGTCTAATGACCTCATTTTAAAAATTATGTATGAAGAACTGCTGTATTTGGTATATTTTGCACTTTGTTTACTCTGTAAAGCAACTGTGAGTGAAGTGATACTTCTATTATATATATTTTGCAACTGATGAAAGAGTTAGGGAGATTAAATATTTTACAAATGTTAATACTAACTGGGTCTGTGTAACACCAAAATCTTGTTGCAAGGCTGCTTAGTAAGAAAACCAGAAAGTTCATGATGGTGTCACATCACAGACATAGCCTAGTGATCATGGGTTACTGGGAGGCATCATAGATTCCATATTTGTTTCTATTACTTACAAAGTATATTTTGCTTTCTTCAGTACAATGCTTCATCCCAGCAGCAAAGAGAAATAATTAAAAGTAGGAGCTTGGACAGGCGGCTGCAAGAACCAATCGTATTAACAAAGTGGAGACATAGCACCATTGTATTGGACACCAATGACAAGGTAGGACTTTGAGGAAAATTTGTTGAGAATTTGTCTATTGTTTACAGCGAATTGTAGCCATTTGTACTAGTATTTTTGTAATATTGCTGGTAAATGTGATTCTTGGATAAGAATTTGATTTCTTTTGAGCCAGTGCAAATTAATGGTTCTTTTTGTTTATTTTCCCACAATTTCATAAATACAAAATGTACTTTGGCCATATCCCCGTCATTATTCCTATTTTATACTTTTCCGTTGCTACAGAATCCCTTCTTCCCAGTAAGTCCCTCTGCTTTGAAGTCTGTCTGTTTTTGTGGTCCACTTCATTTAGTTAGAGTTTCCTGACTGACCATGGAATGGTGGGAGGGTATTTATTTGAACAATGACAACTTACCAGTGGCTATGCGACTGAGAAATATGACACTGTCTCTCCAACGACCATTAGCTGCCCATAGTTCATCAGAGAGGGGTAAGACCTTATGATTCCTCTGCCCATGCATGTTGGAGTGTTGGCAGGCTCAGTCTTGTGCAAGTAGCCATTGCTGCTTTGAGTTCATGGGTGGAGTAGCCATGTCAGAGCCAGAAGAGAGTTTCACTGCACTCTTCCCACCCTCTGGCTTTTCTGCCCCCTTATCTAAGATACTCCCTGAGCCTCTAAGGGGGTGATACTGGTATCCTGTTTAGGGCAGAGCACTCACCAGTTCTTTATTCTCAGCATGCAAGCTAATGCTTTTACCTGCATGTACTGTGCAGTTATTTTCTTTTTAACTAAATGGCATGCCTTTGTATTTAGCACCAGCTTAGGCAGTTTTTGGCTTTTAAGTTTTTCATTTTTTTGCACATAGACCATTTTTGTAGCCTAGTGATATATACTTATCAACACATTTGAGCTAGTAGACATGTGTGTATGTGTGCGTGTGTGTGTGTGCGTGTGCGCGCGTGTGTGTAACACTGTTCTATTACTTTGTGCCTTTGATCTCCTGGATGTTTCATAGTAAAGATTTACTTTTCTTATCCCAAGGAAGAGTGGACTTCTCCCTTTATTTTTCTACTGAGAAGTGATGTTCTCTGTTTCTAAAAGGGAATGACTTTTTGTATTTATTTGTTTGTTTGTTTATTCATTTATTCATTTATTTATTTATGAGTGAATGAGACAGGGTCTCCTTGTGTAGCCCTGGTTGGCTTGGAACTCACTGTGTAGACCAGGCTGGCCTTGATCTCTTAGAGATCCACCTGCCGCTACCTCCCAAGCACTGGGATTAAAGGTGTGCGCCACCAAACCCAGTTTAAAGGATGAATTTTGATGCTAGCATTGGAAAAGTTTATGTATTACACTCCTTCAGAGTTACATCTTTTTCATTTAGAAACATGGTGGACATTTACTGTGCATTAGCAGACTGTCAGGCTTACCAATGTTAGAATGTGTAGATGAGGACAACATTCTGAAATTAAATAGATTAGTTAAAAAGATGTCATTGGTGACTCTAGTTTCTTTTTCTTTAAATCCATCATCATTCTTACAGTATGATTAACAATTTTCCCACATTTTAGTCCCCCCCCCTTTTTTTTTCTTATGTAACCCAGGCTGATTTGGAACTTGGGTGACCCTCCTGCTTCAGCCTCCCAAGTGCTGAGATTAGAGGTGTGAACCACCATACCTGGCTAAAATGACCTCTCTTGCTGCTTATTTTTGTTTGGTTACTTTTAGCCTTAAATAAATCATTTTATAAACAATGATTTCAATTGACCAATCAAATTACATAAAATGTTTTGTAAGTACACTTGACTGTAAATTGGCCTTTGTATATAAAGAGTAGAATTTAAGAGTTTACAGTAAATACTGTTATAGTCATAACATGGATTTACAGAACAGCAATGAAAATAGACCAATTTTTAGTTTTCATTTTTCTAGGGGTTTGTACAATTAAGTATAGAAGATGTACTAAAGGAATGGCATTTTGGAATTGGTATTATGAAGATATGCTTGAAAATATATTAGTATTGAGATTGGCACGGAAAAGTTACATTCCTAGAAATGCTTAGTAGAAAATCAGTTTCACTCCAGGAATTAGATTACAATTCCAGGTATCAGGAAGCTTTTAGATTTCATATATAATACTCCAGAGCAAAAGCTGTTGTTGAACTGCCTCTGTTACTTCATTCTATGAGAATAAAGACAATTTTAGTGAGGTATAGTTAAATTTTCTTCTTTGAAATACCCTGTCATATTCAGGGTTGCTTGGTGGGGGATGGAGGGAGCTGTGTGTGTGTGTGTGTGTGTGTGTGTGTGTGTGTGTGTATGCATGCATGTCTACACGTCCATGTGAGCATCAGGTTTAATCTGAACCCTGAAGGAGGTTGCACATGTTCTTTTTTATCGGATTGCCCCAGGGTTGCAGGAATATGATTGTTTTGAGAACAGAAATTTACTTATTTTTCATAGAAATGTCTTCTTTCCAAGTTACCCTTTGTAAATGGATTCCTAGCTAATTGCTTCAGCAAGTAAATAAATATTTCTATTTCTTTTCCTCACCTAAATATGCCTTCTTAAGTTAGAGCAGTCTTTAAGGTTATGGAAAAGGGGCTAGAGCAGGACAATTTTACTAATATATGAGGCAACGTATCTATGACTTGCAATATTGCTTGGCAAGGGTTATTCTGACAACATGGATCCTAGTCCAGCTGGGAGACAACTTTGCAGGAAGGTAGTTGTGGTATGTCTGTATATTCCTGTGCCTGAGTGGATCCGCTTGTTTCTGCTTATGTATTGTTTTTAATAAAACTATGTCTGGATGTGTGAGATGTCTGTCTGCATTGACACTTGCAAATGTACATCAGTGCCAGCATGCAAGTGCTTCTTTATTGTAGTTATAATTATTATGTATTCATTATTAGTCTATTTGAGGATTTTATGAAGGACCTACATTGCTTTTGTTCTGTTACTTTGTAGTTTGTGGGCCATTAAATCTTTCTTTTTTCAGACTGTTTGGTACATACTCTGGTAGAAGTCATAATGATCTGAAGTTAGGAAAAAAATGCTTACATGAGGCTGAACTGAAATTTGGAAATAAATTTAATTCCTTTTTCTAGAGACATTTTTTGATAGGACTATACGATTTTTTCCATTAGTAGTGTTGGCTTTGGTCGTTTGGTTTGTAAGATTGTACCTTCAGAAGTTTTCCAGCAAATCTTCAGGGCTGCATACTTTCTCTGTGTGTAAATTGTACGGGGTGTAAAGTGAAGACCTTTTTCTAAGTGAGTGAATGTTGAGTTCATGGTTTTTGTGTTGTTATGGAAAACATTCGGGTTTGTTGTCAGAATCTTCAATTTCACAAGTATAGGAATTGGAATGCTACAAATGTGGAGGTCAATGTTTGGTTTGACTGGAAATTTAATAATAGGTGTTGACATGATTTTCTGATTTCCTTTTCTTGAAATTATTCATAGCAACCTGAAAATGGAGAATTTTTAAGTCTAAGTCGGTGTTGGTACCAAAATTTTTTTTTTCATTCTTATTCTCCATAAGAAATACTATTTTTTAATTTTGACAAAACAGGTTGTTTATAAACCTTCTACTGGTTTGCTCTCAGGGTATTCTTGCAGCCTTAAACATGACAGCATCTCCCCATCCCCATGCATTAACTAATCTTTCAATACTAGATTTCCTTTTTTTTGTATTTTTATATCCAGTCATTGAAAGGATGGCTATAAATAAGTATTAATAGCAATTAAATTTAATTTCCCACATTGCTTTTGACTAAAAATTCCATACTGGCAATTGCCACATAATTTCCTGAGATGATTTCTAGCCTAATCCTGGATAGTCACATCTCCCATATTGATGTTAAGTTGTATGGTCACTAATACATGCTTACCCTAAGAAATTCTATTTTACTTATTTTAAATAGGTTTAATTAAAACTGGGTACAAGACCATGATTTTAAACCAACTTTGTTGACTGTATTTTATTAACTTTTAATAACATCTATAGTTTTCCAACTAGTGCCATACTAATTTTAGAGCTGAATATAGAAAGAAAGTGGCAAGGAAAAAAGGCTTCCTTAGATTGCTTGTTAAGCTTTTCCACTGCAAATACAGGGAGAAATAGAATTATAGAAAATAGAGTAACTGTTGTCATTACTTATTTCTTGTAGGAGTCTCCAACTGCCACAAAACCCTGCTTTCCTGAAAATGAATCTTCTCCTACCTCATCAAAGCATCAAGATCCAGTTAGTACACTAGAAACACACAGTAAAATAGTCCATCTGTTTCCACTTTCAGTAGATTAATTTTCTTTAAATGTGATGTTTAAGTATAGCTTTAGTTACATCTAATTGGTCTTTTAGAAAAGAATTACATAATTAAAACAGATTAAATTAAGAATCAAATTTTATTCATTTTAAAATTCCCTTTTGTACAAAATATGGTATGATTAAATGATTTATATACCATATTTTTAAGTGACAAATTTATATTTGGTTTTTTAAAAAATAAAAATTCCCAAAGAATTTTATCAAATCACACATTACCTTTTCTTTCTCAGGCAGCAGTACCAAGGTAAGAAGTATTCCCTTTTCTCCTGCTAGCACAGGCACCCTGCTGCTTCTGGGCTATGAAGGACATGATCAGTCTGGGCTAGGGAATATTGGAGATAATGTATCTCAACTGTAAATTCTCCCAACTCTAAGCAGCTTCTTTTCTGACACTTGTCTATGTTGTAGTGAATTCTTGATCTTTTTACATTCACCCTGTTCCCGTGTTCTTCCCCTGCCATGCTGATTCTGCTTTTGGCTTGCACTGGCTGTTCTCTTATTAAATGGAGCCTGACGTTTTTAGGGAGGATGGAGCAACAAGACTGCATACCCTGGCACTTGATTGTGTCCCCACCTCAAACTCCCTATGTCCTCATTCTCCCTGTTGTGTGCCTTCTGCTGTATGGCACATTTTTTGTCCCTCAAAGGAACCTGCTTTTCAACTCGGGGCCCTTGTGTCTGCTGCTGAAACTTTCTCTTGTATCTTTGCTGGTCAGCTCCTGCTTATTCATGAGGATTAAGTGCAAACTTTGCTTCCTCAGAGAATTTAGTCTAATCTTATAGATTAGGTGAGGTTTCCTTATCACTCATTTGACATGAATATTTTAGTTGATTTCATAAAAATCCAGAGCAGTTCTTACACTGACACCTCTGGGATCCAGCTCTGTGGCTAACTGTCTTCCCTACCAAAGGAAAGCCTTAGAACAGGAACAGAGCATTGCCAGTTCCTACTGCAGAGCTGCAGTAGCTGCCCAGGAAAAGTCGCTGAACTAACAGGTGAAACCTCAAAGGCTTAAAAAGATGAAGTTTCACCATTGCTGTTTTATGACCTTCTCTCAGACTTGTATTTATTGGACTTCAGATTTTGTTAAGGCAAAGATTTCACTTTTCTGACCATTCCTGATCCTTACTCCCCTCTTACACACACGAGGGGGGGGGGAGATATTTCTTTATAATTTTTTCATTTCTCATATTTTATAGTTCCTATCACGTTATGTACACTTTATTTTTTAATTAGCACTTAGTACTTGTATATATTTAAGAGATACGGTGTGATATAAAAGCACTGCATTCTCTAAACTTACTTTTAAATATAGGCAATACACAATTCCCAGAAACCAATTGATAGACTATGTTTGATAAAAAGGAATGACTAGGTAATTGTAGAAGTGAGTGTGTAAATATATATACAGTTTCAAAGGCCGGTTTGCAGGTAACATCCCCATCCATTGACATCCACCAGACTGGCCTGGATGCAGGGCACCCTCCGATGGCCATTCCTGGAGCTGCCTTACCAGCATTCTCTTTCCATTTTTCTAGTTAACAGAGCAACTGTGTTGATTCTGCCAAGGCCATTTCTGTTTCTACATAAACAGAGTGCCCCTCTCCTTCCCAGAAGCCTCTTTTCTGCTCTCTTGTCTCCCCACTGAGGATTTGGCCCCCTCATCTCTCTGTCCTTAAGGCCCCTCTTCTCTGCTTGCTGTGCTTCTACCTAGTCTTACCTGTCTCTCCCACTCATCTCTGCTTACTACAAGGGGATATTTTCCCCTCTCTCTTTGTGAATTAAAATCGTGGTATAAAGGTTTAGTGGAAGGAAAATGAACACACACATTTAGAAGGTTTTCTAAAAAAATGACATTGAAACAGATTCTGTTGTCTTCCCAGTTGCTTAAGTTTGCCATTTTCCCCAGGACCCTCCTTTTCCCCATCTGTCCATTCTTGTCCTGCATTTCTCTGAATTTGGTCCCTCTTCTGTCTCTGTCCCTATCTAGTTAGGCCTTTGTGGTAGAACAGTACTCTTTGCTGGTGCCCAGCCTTGCTTCTCTTTCTTAGTCCATTCTTTCCCCTGCAGTGTCTCATTTTTTGCCATTTCTCTACCTCATCCCGTACTTTGGAGAAGATCAGAGACCCTTGAGATACACCTTTTCTCCTGTTATTTTCAGCTCCTGTCTCCATTTTGTTGAGCTTACTGCTGAGTTCAAAGGTCGACTTCTGTAGGAAGCTATTCTGACTCTCTTTCTTCCAGGATGAGTTAGGTGTCCATTTCTCACAGCACTTAACACATTGTACAATGGCTATTTTTTGTACTTTCTATCTTTTTGGACATGGCAAATTTTGTTCTTCTATGTTTAAGTCACGGTGCTTAATACTTACAGTATTAGTATTTCATCTTTAGTCCCTGTGAACATTTCGTGAAAGTTCTGACTCCTTTGGCACAGTGTGTCCACAAACAGTTTTGCATGTTTCCATCCATCCATTGATTTGGGTAAGAATCTCTGATTTAGGTAATCTCTATTATCCACGGGCTTAGACTCTGTCGCTATTGCTGTTCCATCCATTATTCTTTCTTTTTTTATGCCTGTATCTCCTTCCTGACTCTTCTGCTTTTATTCTATTCCATCTGTGGCTTTAAAAAATAATCCAAATCCTCACCTTTGTCCATCTAGTTCACATTAATCAGGGCCCATACAGCGATTTTAATGTTGTCACTTAATTACCATTCATTAATGTTGTTACTTAACTACCATTCTCCTTGCACCTGATGAGAGGAGGACATTAAATTCAGAAGGCTTTTTATTTAATATCTTGTGCATACTTAAAATTGTATAGTTGCAATTTTTGTTGAAAGGCATTGGGGCGTCAGATTTGTACATCTGAGATCAAAAGGCTATGCTTTGTGAAATAATTGCAGTAAAATGACACATAGGTTATTTCCAAATTTTTGGTATGCTAAAAAATAGGAATTGACAGTTTTTCAGCTAGAGATGCAGGCAAAGTTTCAAACATTATCTTTTAGACATTTGAGAAAAAATTCCATTATTATGTTTTATGTCCCATACATAAAGATTTTATATTTTCTTGTTAAAGTAAATTGAGAAACTTTACTGAGAAATCAGTCAAATAGAAATAAATTCTGGGGCTGGAGAGATGGCTCAGTGGTTAAGAGCACTGTCTGCCTTTATAGAGGATCTGGGTTCAGTTCCCAGCACCAACATGGCAGCTAACAGGTGTCTATAACTGCAGGGGAATCCACCCTCCATGGACTTTGCATAACACAGGTGCACTTACATACATGCAGGCAATACACTGATACACATAAAATAACAATAAATAATTAAAAGAATTTTGGGGCCTAAAGAGATGGCTCAGGGATTAAGAATGCTTACTGCTCTTACAGAGGACCCAGTTTGGGTTCCAGCACCCATGTTAGGCAGTTCACATCTGCCTACAATTACAGTTCCAAGGAATCGGACACCCCCTTCTGGATTCTGAAAGTACCTGTGCTGACATGCATATGCATACACGTAATTAAAAATAGGGTTTTGGTTTTTTTTTTGAAGAACATTAATTCTGGGGGCTGTGGAGATGGCTCAGTAATTAAGAGCACTGGCTGCTCTTGCAGAGGACCCAGGTTCAGTTCCCATGACCCACCAGAGTGCTAACAACCGTTCATAACTTCACTTCGAGGGATCTGATGTCCTCTTCTGTCCTCAGTGGGCATTGTACACAGGAGGTGCACTTACATACATACATACAGGCAAAACTCATACATGTAAAATTTTTAAAAGAAGAAATAAATTCTGAATTTCAATTTTCCCTTTGCATATGTGTTTCAGTTATGTTAAAATTAGCTGTTGTCTCATGTACATTTTGTTTGTAGTGCTGATAATTACTGTAGACACCGACTTGTTTTTATTAAGTTCATTTATCTAGAACACTTAACATAGTGAGAAAATACTACTTAATTATCTGGATTAACGTCAGCTAATGGAATGGTTTTTGCCTTTGTAATGTTTAATTATGGAAACCCATGTCACTGTTTTTGACATTAGCTGTCTAATCCTGTTTCAGTGCTCAGCTCACCACGTGATAGCATATTTAATGAAGCACATGCTGATTTTTTATACATTAAATCCAGTTCTGTGCAGGGTACTAGGTACTTTAGAGTAACTTACTAGTCACTTCATTTTGTTCAATCCAGTTATTTTTACGTTCTGACATAGTGTGATAGGATGTTGTCAGATTATTTTTGTGTGTGTGTGCTATTTATCACTGTAGCATTGCATCATTTTCTTTGAAGAGGGAGACAAAAACCATTTTTCTGTGGTAATCCATTTTTCCAGTCATTGTTCATGAAAATCTAATTACTAGCAAAGTATATAATGGCTGCTTTGACTTAGGAGAAAAAGAAGTGTTTGCCAGGTGGTTGGGCACACCTGTGGTCCTAGTGCTTGAGCAGTAGGGGAAGGAGGGACAGGAGTTCAAGGCTAGCCTCAAGTATATGGTAAGTTCTAGGCTAGCCTTTGCTACATGAGACCCCAATTCCCAAATAAAAGGAAGTATTAACTTATAAATCACTGACAATAACTTCATAAAAAAGTCAAGATGATTAATGTACTCTAATAATAGGCGTGTTAATATACTAATCTTTTAGGTTAATTTTTAGACAGCCAAACTATTTGGGGTCAGTTGATTATTAAAACTTGGACATTATTGTCTCTATGAATGATATATAAAAAGTATTACTCTGTTCCATAGGGTCAAGAGAAATACGGATTGTTAAACGTAACAAAAATTACTGAAAATGGGAAAAAGGTTCGGTAAGTGCACAAATCTTAAATGTTCTTACATGACTCATCTGACGGAAATAAATGAAAAGACATTCCTGTAGAAGTGATTAACAGATTTAGAACAGTTTTTAATCATGTATTTTTTAGTAAGTTTTCCACGAAATCTCTAAACATTTCTTTTGTATTAACATTTTTAAAGTAATATTAAATTTAGAGATAATAGAATTCTAAAGAAATAGTCAAATTTTGATATATTTTTCTTTCCTTAAGCAATTAATGGTGAAAACAAAGGTACACTATTATAGGAGAAGCCAGTCACCCTCCATCAGTTCTCCTCTCCATAGGTCCTACGAATGTTAGTGCTTTCCTCTAGAGAGGACCTACATGAGTACATGTACATAAATGGCATTAGTGAGCATGATCTGTCTTATAGTCATCACACCAAAGCTGGTTCAACATGTACCACTGTGGTACGTGTAATTGTGGTCATAGTTATCCATTGTTTGTCAGCAAGTGAGTAACTTGGCCTGTCTGTTGGTAGACATTTAGGGTGCTTACAGTTTTTGCTATTACAAACAATATTACACTGAGCATATTGCATAGTTCATTTTGGAAGTATGTAAATCTTCCTGTAGAATAAACTTTACAGAATTGGAGTTGCTAGGTCATGTGCAATGTCACTTTAGTAATGTATCAAGATGTCCTCTTCTGCGTCCAACAGCAGTGCATTTCCCACCCATGCAGTAATTCTGTTCAGATGCTTTGGTCCTTGCCAGTAGAGTCAAGAGAGAGTGATAGCTTTATCCCTTTTTAGTGGAGACTCATAGGCAGTTTGGGTTTCTTTAGGGGGAAATTTTGTTCATACATTTTGTCTTTTTCTTTTAATTGTTTGAATTTTTGGTTAATGTGTACCTCCTAATGAATTAAGGAAATTGGTAGTTTGTATTTCCCTGGGATTTGAAAAATTACCAAAATATTATGAGTTTATAGTAAAACTGAGATGGGTCTGTTCAGAAAGAGTTTTAAATTTACAAGTAGTTGAATATTTAGGTTTGTTTCAATTACACTGTTTGTTAGGTTTTGATTTTTGGGTTTTTGAGACAAGGTCTCCTTGTAGCCCCAGCTGGCCTGGAACTCAATTTGTATGCCATGCTGGCCTCGATCTCACAAAGATCTGCCTTTGCCTCCTGAATGCTAGATATTTTTTTTTTTTTTTTTTTTTTTTTTTTTTTTTTTTTTTGGTTTTTTTGGTTTTTTTCTTTTTTTTTTTTAGAAAGTATTCTTTTAAATTCTCTAAAACAGCTTATGGTTATTATAAAACGTTTCTAAAAAAATTTTTTTTTGTAGAATTTGCTTAAGAATTGGGTCATTATTTTGTTGTTGAGGTGTTTTGTTTTGTTTTTTGAGACAGAGTCTCACGGTGTGGCCCCAGCTGGCCTTGAACTCACTGAGATGCGCCTGCCTCTGCCTGCCAAGTGCTGGGATTAGAGCTGTGCGCCACCATGCTTGACCTTCTTGTTCTGTTTTGAGTATGCTGTGTAGTGCAGCAAGCCTTTTGGTCATTGTCTTTTTGCCTTTGTTATTATTTCTGTGATAATCTTTTCGATTTTATATTTCTTTTGGAGTGTTTTTTGTAACTTATGTTTTCCTGAGCATCCATTTCATCTTTGTATTTATTTACATGAAGTTAAGAAACATAATCTTTCAATCTCTCTACTAGGGTATGTTGAACTTTGGGTCTGAAGGGCCTCTTTAAACAAATTATTGAGTATTCTGAAGAGCTTTTTTTCCTCTGTCCATATTTATTGTGAGAAATTAAAACTGACAAATCTTAAGAATATTGTTTTGCAATTGCCTATTACAGATTAACATGAATAAAGCTTTTTGAAGAAAAATATTTCTATATTTTCTAAGACAAAAACCTTTCTGTGAGGAGGCATTGTTTCATGTTTTTGTAGTTCCTTGGTATTTGGCTTAATGGAAGACACCTGAATTCTTACCTCTGCTTGCAGTTAGTCTGTTGTAACATAACTATTTTGGTTGACATATTTGAAAATAATTGTCCTGTGGACTAGGGAGAGATGGTTCAGTGGATAGAAGTGTATGCTCTGCAAGCATGAGGATTTGAGTTCCCCAGCACCCATGTAAGCCAGGCTTTGCATGCATGTAACCCCAGCATTGGAGTGGTGGGGGTAGGGCAGAGACAGGCAGCTCCTGTCTCCTGATCAGCCAGCCAGCCTGTATCTAAAATGAGTTTCCTGTTCAGTGAGAGACCCTGTCTCAAGGCAATAAACAACAACAACAAAAAAAAAACCAGTGTCCTGCTCGATCCCTCTGCATGTGTGCACATGGTGATGTGCACTTGCACACTTACATGATTGTACCATATGCACATTTTTTTAAAGGAAAATCTCCCTTTTATAGCTAATGTTGGAAAAGGGAGACATGTACATGTTGTTCTGCTACACCAGTACTCAACTAATGATAGTTTCTTAAAGGGTGGTAGAAATGGAGACTGAAAGACCCGTAAAGCTTCTCATGCTCCAATATATAAGAGCTGTTAGCTTTTATTGTATTTGTATGAATCTACCTCTGCATAAACTTACAATGCATTGTAGGCCATTTGGAAATACTGATTGTTGAGTGTGCTTATTTTTCAAATGTTTGCATTATGTTTGTTTTATACTATAAAAGATCCACAAACTGGTGATACTAGATGTCAGTAAGTATTGAGAGTTGTCAAAGTTACAGATGATACATTTTATCACTTTCCCTTTCTGTTTGGAAAGCATTAGAATTTTTGTGTGGTAAAAATTACGTGCCTGGGACTGGAGAGATGGCTCAGTGGTTAAGAGCACTGACTGCTCTTGCTGAGGACCCAGGTTCGATTCCCAGCACCCACATGGCAGCTTCAATCATCCTTAACTCCAGTTCCAAGGGGAATCCGATGCCCTCTTCTGACCTCCATGGCATTATACAACATGGGCGCACTTACAAACATGAAGGCAGTGCACTCATACACATAAAATAAAAATAATAAATAAAATATGCTTTAAAAAAAATTACATGCCCAAGTTTGTTCCCTTAGAACTTTAAATTTTACAGCTCAGCAGTGTTAAGTGTATGCTCACAGTTGTACAGTGGAGCTCTAGAACTTTCTCCTTTTGCAGCACTGAAACTCTACCCAGTAAACACTAATTGCCTCTCTCCTTTTTCCCATCCTTTGGACGGGTGCACTTCTCTGCCTTGTCCCTCTGACTAACTGCTGCAGTGGGTGGAATTATGGAGTGTTTGCAGGCTTTATGATTGGTTTATTTCACTTAGCATCACATCCTCATGGCTCCTCCATGTTGAAAGATTTAATAGTTTATTGTCAGCTATCACTACTGTTTGTTTCCTTGGAGGTTACAGGTATACTTTGTTTTTTTAGATAAAGTGTGTGTTACCATTGTCTGACTACTGTATCTGTCTGTTGTTTCTTCAGAAAAGAAAAACAAACTGGTTTCTATGGGAAAACAAAGCAAAACAAAACAATGGTTAATTCAGCTTAGAACACAGTGCTTCACAGTGTTTTTTGAGACAGTGATTGTTAGCTTAGTATTTTGTGTGTATATGTGAGTACCTGTGTGTTGAGACAGGGTCTCATGTGGTCCAGGCAGGGCTTGGTCTTGAATTTTCTTTTGTTTTTTAAAATTTTTTCCCCCTTAATACCCAACCCACTGAGTTCGATTAGTGCTGCCATATGCACGTGGGTGTGGGGTCATCCATTGGGGCATAGGTAACCTAGCAGCAGCCACCTCTCAAAGAAAACCAACTCCATCCCACCCCCTATCCCCCAGCAACCGTTAACTACCAATAGCTTTTTACCTAGGAGGGTGGCCTTTGGAGCCCCTCCCATCTTTGTGCTGGAAGTTTTAAATGGCTTGATCTTGTGCAGTAACCACAGCTGCTGTGGGTTCATATATGCAACAGCCATGTCATATTCCAAGGACAGCATTTCACAACACACTTTCCGACCACCCTCCTGCTCATACATTCTTTCTGCCTTTATTTCCTGAGCCTGTGTGATATACATATCCCATCTACAATTTAGCACTCATAGTCACTTATGTGAGCACTGTGAACAGCCATGAGTCTCTGCGCCACTAACTGCTGCAGTAAAAAGCTTGTCTAAGAGAGAGAGCAGCACAGATGTATGGGAATAAACATGAATATTTAGAAGGTAGTTTGACATCGTAACCATTTAGCAAAACATCATCAAAATTTGGAGCTATGACTTCCTGAGGCATGGGTTTGGACCATGTTTACAGTGCCAGGCATGAATTCCTTCCAGTGGAGCAGGCCTCAAATCCAATCAAAAGAGTGGTTGGTTACCCACATAAAAAAAGTTCAGAGGCCTTGAACTTTTGATCCTCCTGTCTCCACCTCCAGGTGCTGGAATTAAAAGGGTACACCACCATGTCTGGTCTAACAGTATGTTTATGTTTTTGTTTGGGGGTGAGGTTTTGGATTTTGGTCCTTCTGGTAGTGGTGGTACTAGGAGCTGAACCCATGACTTCACTCATATGGCCAGTGCTCTCCCATTCATTGAGCTATATCCCCAACACTTAATGGGTTTTGTTTTTAAGTCAAATCTTTAATATTTGTTCTCATGTTTTTTTTTAGTTCTATAGCTTTATGAATTATAAGAATTAAAAAGGGTTTTAAAGTGGAAATATGTTAATTTAAGCATGTTTCACAGTACAGTGGCCAGTAGATGACATAAAGAAATAGAAGTCTGAGTAGGAAATAGATTTATGAATAAGTGTAAATCATCCCAAGACAGCTTAAGAGATCCACACAAAATGAAATATTAAAATGAAAATGTATGAAAAAGTGGGAAGAACTAGCAGCAAGTGTGTCTAACATGCAAATGGACTATATGAATCTATTGAAACAAACAAGATGCTTTAATACTGTGTTTAAAAACAACCCTGAGGGCTGGAGAGATGGCTCAGTGGTTAAGTGCCTTGGCTGCTCTTGCAGAGGACCTGGGTTCAGTTATCAGCACCCACGTGGTGGCTCACAACTGCATGCAATTCCAGTTCTAGGGGATCTGATGCCCTCTTCTGGCCTCTGCAGGTACTAGGCACCCATGTGGTACACATACACATAAACACAGCAAAAACATTTATACACATAAAATAAATCTTAAAAAGACCTGAAATGATTCAGAAATATTAACAGCCCCCCCGACTGAGGCGTTTCAAAGTATGAAAAATAAAGTAGGAAGGGGGTTCCTATAAAGAGCAAAGGGGTGAACTTGAGCATTGCAAACATGAATATTTTTAAAATGGCAAAACAGGGCTGGAGAAATGGCTCAGTGGGTAAGAATGCTTGTTGTGTAACCCTGAGTTTAAATCCGCTGATTCATGTGACAAACCAAATATACGGTCTCACACATGTCTGTAACCGCAGTGCTGCAGGGGGGTAGAGACAGGAGGATTGCTGGCTGCCAACCTATCTTAAAAGCAAGAAATCTAGGTTCAGGGAGAGACCCTCCCCCAAAGGAATAGGTAGAGAGAATAGAGGAGGACACCTGACACCCCCTCTGGTCTCTACATGTACACAGGCACACATACTCACACATGTACATACATTGCACTAAAGCATTGTGCATAGGCTCATAATGAAGATCTGAACATTAGCGATAACCATTTACAGGCTAGAGACACAGCTCTTTAGAGTGCTCATCTAGCAAATACTAGCACTGGATGAACCAGGTGTGGCAATGCACTCCTATAATCCCAGCACTTGGAAAAGGTGTAGATAAGGGGGATAAGATGTTCAAGGTCACCCTCAACTGCATATCAGAGTTCAAGTCCAGTCCTGGTCTCCAAACGAAAACTAAAAGTAGAAACTAACATTTGTGTACCAACTATGGGGACAAAATGGGAAAATAGAAATGCAGTAGTGATTTTATACTCCATCTATGAAGTTCAAGTATGTATAAAAAGCAATAAAATAGTAAAGTAGGTCTAATCGGTAGATAGGGAATTCTACATTCTAAAAAGTGTAAATAAACCTATTTTAAAGTGATTACAGAGTTCCTACTATGTTTCACTGTAAGGAATACCTTAGTAAATCTCTAGAGTAGGTAGAGTCAACATTCATTTTACCCTCCCAGCAGCTGAGTTTCATTACAATGTAATTTTAATTTGAAGAGGATTTTGGTAGGCTTGAAATAGATACAAAGTAAATGAAACATTCTTTCTGCCCCAAATAATGTTAAACTCCTCCAGTGGAAGAGAAACATTTAAGCAAAAAAATCTCTAATAGAGAATTAAAGGTAATGAAATGGGGAAGTTGAGTTGATTCTGACCAGAGCATAGCATCTATCTGTGTTAAAGTTGCCAGGAGGAACATCAGTAATGTTACATATATTAATTGTGAATCTTACCTGTGCATCTGGAGATAGAACAGTGAATCACTGGGTTGATTTCTTTGATAAAAGACCCATATACAGGACTGGGGAGATGGCTCATAGGTAAAGGCACCTGCTGCCCAAGACTAGTAACTTCAGTTTGATCCCCAGAACCCACTTAAAGGTGGAAAAAGAGAACTACTCCTACTAAGTTGTCCTCTGACTGCCACACACATGCTTGCGTGGGCATGCACACACAAACACATACACACAAATAATAAATTTTAAAAGACTCATACACCAAACACCTACTAATACTGGCTGCCCCTCAAGTGGGGACTGATTTTATTTTATTTTTTTTTTACATTTTATTTGCTGGGGGATGTGGGGGCTTGCCATGGTGTGCATGTGGAGTTTATGGGATTGTGGGAGTTTTCTTCTTCTACTCTCTGGGTCCAAGGATTCAATTCAGGCCTTCAGGCTTGAGTTCAGTCCATCTTTTACATGTTTTCGTAAGTCAGATTTTTTACATGTGTTGCCTTTGTAATTTAGTTGCTTAAAAACACCTCACCTTAGTGATCGGTCGCTATACAATTTATTACGTAATATTAATGTATCTACTATCTGTTGCTTATTTTTCTAAATATGATGTTCCATTTGTATGACTTTAAATTAGTGGGTTTTTTTTTATTAAAGATTTTTGTTTTTATCTATGTGTATCTGTGTTTTGTATGAATATATGCCATGTTTGTGGGGATGTCCACAGAGGCCAGATGCCCACAGAGGCTAGATCCCCTTGGAGCTAGAGTTATAGGCAGTTGTGGGCTGCCTGACATGAGTGCTGGGAACTGAACCTGGTTCCTCTGTGGCTCCCAGCAAGTGCTCTTAACTGCTGAACCATTTTTCCAGCCCTCTAAGTTAGCATTCTTGGTCAGAATGTGCTAGTTAAATTCCATTTGAAAATAATTGGGTGTTTGATCATAGTTATTCTGATAATTTACATTTCTGATTAATGTCATTTGTTTGGGGGTCTATGTGATCATGTTAGGGCTCTAAAATGTCATTAGAATCATATATCTAGAACAAGTAGGTCAAATATTAATGATGTTTAAATTGTAGACAGTCATGAGAGCTAAGTAGACTTTGGTTTTAAGGTTTTGCTGATAGTGGTGCTTAAATCGGTTGTTTTTATAATTGTAGGAAGAACTGGTTGTCTTCTTGGGCAGTGTTACAGGGTTCATCTTTACTTTTTACCAAAACTCAAGGAAGTGGTACAAGTTGGGTAAGTATTTCTTCTTTGTGGAGGGAGATTTTATACACTTAAAATTATATGTATAGCATAATACCTGAATTTCAAGGGTTAATTTCCAGAGTCTTTAGGGTGCAAGCACATGTGCATTTAAAAATAAAAGTTTTCCTAAAGATGGATTTTGACTTGTGAGAGAAAGAAGACTATATAGAATGGTCTAATAAGTTGTATTAAAACCAACTACTTTATCCTTGGAACTGAAAAGTCGGCTCACAATGTCAGCATTAATTAAACACGTTTTCAGAATGTTAAAGCTTTTCTGTGTTTATAACTGTTATTTCAGGTATTTATTTAGGGAATTGTCAGTCATGTGCCTGACCCCACCTTCACATGCGATCTGACCCTACTGTACTAGCCAATGACTCCAGTGCCATGTCTGTATGCCAACCAGCTTGGAGGAGAAAAAGAAATGTCTCTGTTTTTTGTGGGGTGTTGATGGTACTTTTTGTTTATACAGCATTTACTATTGTTACCCTTCAGTTACTTACAATACTAATCATTTGTGACATAAATTGCTAACTTTTTTAAAATGCCTAATATGTCTGTATATATCACCTATTCTAAATGCAAAAGATTCTGGGGGATCTTGTCCTCTTAACCCTGGGACAGCTGTTTTCTTCTTCCTTTTCCTGTCCTAGGTGAGAAATTTCGGTATCAAACATTTAAATAATTTTTAAGACTGTACAACTACTAAGTTGAAAATCTAGGTTTAGAACTTTGACTCTAGAGTTCATACTTTGGGTATTTCTAGAAATTTCAGTAATTGTAATTCAGCGTTTGAAATGTCAGGGTTCAAATAAAATAAAATTTAAAATGAAATTATTATAAATGTATCTGGTCTCTTATCTTACTCTAACAAACAATATTATTACACATACTGATTTTCTTTTAAAATTAACATAAGGTCTTAATGTTGGAAGAAAACAAAAGCCCATTTATAAAATTCAAGCAGATTTTCATTTTCTACATTTACTTTCTGCATTACTTTTACAATGCAGCTGTGGTACGTCTGTGAGACCCTAACTGGCGTGCCCTAGTGTGTTAATTCTCAGCTATGATGATGCAACACTCTAGAAATCCAAAGTATTTGTGCATGAATTTGAACACTCCAGAATATTTTTTTCTTTTTGCTGTAGTAATCCTTTAATTTGTTCTCTACTCAATCAGTATAGTGGAAATGACCTATAATGTGATTTCATAATAAAAGATGGGAGTTTTGGTTTGACCATCTCAAAGTAGATTGATAATTTTGTCTTCTTTTCCCACTGAAGTAAAGTACGTGGTGCTCTTTTGTGTAATCATTCCTTCCTATTTGTGGATCAACTTTTATTAGAAACTGACTGAAGAAAACTGATCAAAAAAGAAAATGGAGATGCAGAAGCAGTTAAGATATTAATAAGTAGGTGCTGGAGAGATGGTTCTGCAGTTAGAGTGCTTGGTGCCCCTCCAGATAAATCAAGTTCCATTCCCAGCACCCCAGTCATGTGACTCACCACTACCGGTAACTCCAGCTCACAGGAGCCCATGTCTTTTTCTGGTCTTCAAGTGCACATGCTTATACACAGCCACATATATACATAATTTTTAAGAAAGTATTAATAAGTAGTAGCCTTGTACCTAAAACAAGCTGCGTAGTGTCATTTATTTGTTAATTCCTGAGACTCATGTTGGAGAGATGTCAGAGCTAAGAGCACTTACTGCTCTTTTGGTGGACCTGAGTTCAGTGCCCTGCACCCATGTTAGGTGGCTCAACAACTGCCTGTAACTCCAGTTCCTGAGGATCTGACACCCTCTCCTGGAGTCCAAGGGGACCTGCCATCATGTGTACATAACCCCTACAACATAATTTAAAAATATAAATAAATTATTGAACTTAACTTTTGAAGAATGTGGTAAGATAAAGTGAATAGAATTTCTTTAAAAGTGTGTGTGTGAGTGTGTGATGTGTGTGTACATATGTGAGTACCACAGCTCACTTGTGGCAGTCAAAGGACAGCTTTGTGGAGTTGGTCAGGGATTGAACTCAGGTCATCAGGCTTATGCCGCAAGTGCTTTTACCTGCTGAGCCATCTTGCTGACTCTGCATGAGATTTTTAAAAATTAAAAACTTCTTTGGAAATTTACAGGTGTCAAGTGAATATACCAGTAGATAGTCATTCACAGATAGCTTTATTTGAAGTTTTTGTTGTAGAACTCTTTATATAATCTAGAGTTGATCATTAAAAGTCTTAATACCTACAAATGCAGATGTGTGGAAGGCCTATTTACCATCTAAAGTTGTTTTACTGTGTTTCTATGTAACAGTAGTGAAATGCAGTTCAAAAGTCACTGATCCAGCCAATTTGAAATTTTAGGGTTATTAATGAGATTTTAATTTTTAAATTTGATGTCATGTTCAGGTAGATACAATTCTCACATATTAAGAGACTAGAAATGTAGTTAAGAGGCCCAGTAAATAAAAAAATAATTAAGGCATACCTAACTCTACATAATGTATTTTGCTAATATTATGTAAATACCAAAATTCTGCGAAATATTTAAGGATTCAGTAATGCTCCTTAGGATTACTGAGAATGATTGAAAGAATACTAGTTTTGTTTTTGTTTTTCTGCTCAGTCACCAAGTGGGTGAAATGTAGGTAAAATATATCCTGTTTCTACAGGAGAACCACATCTTACCTGAGGATGGGATTCTGAGGCTAGGAAAAGAGTAAAACTGTTTTCCTGTGCCTTTTGAGGTGCTCCTGAAGCTGATCTCTGTCAGAGCACCCAGTGTTCTTCAGTTGAGTTTGAGTAGTTTATATGAAGGGGTCACATAATAAGAGAAGTCTAGTTCTTTTAAAAGTATATTCACACTCACAAGCCTAAGAGATCCTCTGGGAGATGGCGGGTTCAGAACTTGCACTCACCCTGGGTGCATGCTCACCACACTCCTCAAGTTTTTGTTTAACCATGCATGCACTGTTTTTTTGTTTGTTGTTTGTTTTTTAAGGGAATAGTTACAGTTGAGTAAATGCAATACATACGTGGCACCTGCAGTTATGCTTTACAAGATAGCCTTAAAAGATGCTGTCTCAATTAAAAAAAAGATGCTCTATCATCTGGAACTCTTGTGAGCCTTTCCTTCTGTTTAAGAATGTTTCACCTGGGGCTGGAGAGATAGCTCAGTGGTTAAGAGCACTGGCTGCCCTTGCAGAGGACCTAGGTTTGATTCCTAGCACCCACATGGCTGCTAACAGCCATCTGTAACTCGGCTCCAGGGGATCCGACCCCCTCTTCTGACCTCCAAGGGTATTGTACAACATGGGTGTACTTAACAGACATGCAGACAAAACATTCATACACATAAAATAAAAATAATAAAGTATTTTAAAATAATAACGATTCATCTGAAAATATTAGATCCCTACCAGCTTATTGAGGTGGGGAGTTGTAGGGTTTTTTTTTTTTATTTTTAAATTTCAGAAGTTTATTATTTGTTCGACAGAAAAGCCTTCAAGCTCTGTGCATTGTGCTGAACTTTGGTGGTTAGAAATAAGCAATATAATCCCTGTCTGTAATGGTTACATTGTGGTAGGGAAGACTGGCAAGTGAGCAGTTACAGTGAAGCATGGCATATGTTGTATTATCTCTTAGTTATGTCATCATAATCCTTAGTATTAAATCTACCCCATTGACCTGGGGAGATAGCTTAGTTAGTAAAATGCTTGCCACACAAGCATGAGGACCTGAGTTTAAATCTCTTGCACCCACATGAAAAGCTGGGCCTACCAGCGCATGCCTGTAATCTCACAGCTAGGGAGGCAGAGACAGGAGAGTCCCCAAGGCTTGCTGTCTAGTTTAATCAAATCAGTGAGTTCCAGATTCAGTGAGACTCTACCTCGAAAAATAAGATGGGCATTGATTGAGAAAGATACACATGTGCACACGTGTACACAAGTAATATACTCCACAACCATCAGTAGTTTCTGAAGCATATTAATTTGTGAGAGAGAGAGGGGGGGGGGAGGGAGAGGGAGAGAACATGATGAAATGAATAAGGCAGGTATGTGTAGAAGTCAGAACACAACTTCAGGAGTAGTTCCTGTCTACCATATGAATTCTAGGGATTGAACTCTGGCCTTGAACTCTGATTGTAAGGACCTTTGTCTGCTGAGCCATTTGCCAGTTCCTGAAAAGCATTGTTTTCACTTTTAAATTTCTAAGAACCTTTTTTAAGGCCAGGTATTTCTGTTGTGATTGGGTGTCCTAAAATTACAGGGTGTTTAACAGATGACTGACACCATCACCTTAAGCTGACTAGAACCAAACACATCTCTGTAGACATTGTTAGATGTTCCATGGGGGACAAAAGACACATCTGTCCTGGAGGAAGGACTGGTATCCTAGAGAAAGGGAAGGTTAGCTGCATAGGAAGACCACATCTGAGTGCTGACTCCAAAAACTAGAGGGTATTTAAATCACCAGGAGACAGGCCAGGGGGTTCTGAGGAATGGGCTGGGCAAAGTGGTAGTGGATCAGCTGAGTCCTTTCTAATATTCCTCAAGTGTTTGGTTGTGAATAGAGGCTAAGGCATATTTGTTTATGATAAATTCTGTAAACCATTCATTTGAAAAAGAGAACATGAATTTGTGCTCTGCAAAGTCAACTAATGTTCTCAGAGTAGTTCTAGGGCATTTGCAAAAGTATTTGGAAGCTTCACTTCTGCTTATAGAAGTGTATTCTTGTGCTCTGGTTCTGTTGTGTCTTTCTCTTGTGCCATTTTGCTGTTTTTTGTTGCGCTACCATCCTCTTCCTTTTCCCCACCAAGTCCTTTTGCCAGCAGAGCTCAGTCTGTTGAGTTCTTGCTTCCTCTGCTTTCTTGGAAAAATTCTGTCAGTCATTGGCCTGCGGTCCCATATGTACAGTCCAATCCTGTTTCATCTGTCGCCATGTGCACCTGTCGCGTCCCACCTGTCACTGTTTTTGGTTGTT